TAAAGTAAAGAAATTACCGTACTCCGCAACGCGCAAGATGAATAAATGTTGACGTCATCCGTTAACATTAAGCTAGTTAACGTTGTGCGGCGAATACTACCCATAAACGTACTCCGCAACGCGAGATGAATAAATTATGTCGTCATCCGTTAACGTTAACGTCTTGCGGCGAAAACTACCTACTATTATCCTGTTTTCCATGCAAACGTCAAATTGAAATGTTATTACAAAACCACCTGTTATCTGTGAAGTTTATTCAGGCGACCCGTTAGAATTGGAAGTGCAACTTTGTTAGACCAAAAAATTCGCTTCGTGTTGGTATCTGAAAGCTTACATTAGGGAGTCGAGTCGTTTATTTGGTATGACCACCATAGCCAGCATCACACATTTCATTTCTTTGCACTTCATTTCATTTGTTTTGTAGCTTCAATGTTAGAGTTAACAAAAACTGTATGTAACTATACTGTATAACGAAAAAATTAAGGCAGTTTGAATCTAACTCCAGAGAAACTGATTAAAGTTAATTATCGTTATTCTATAATAGAGTTCGCCCTCCAATTCGGAGAGACGACCCTCTAATTCAAAACCTCTTTCAAAATACCAACTACCAATCTTTTATCACAAATATAACCCTTTAATTGGAGACTATTTGCCTCTTGTTTTACACGAGTAATTGTTTAATTTAAAAAATATCAATGAAGATGATATACAATTTAAAATTGCAAAATAATTCCAATTTTACATTGTTCATTCAATGATTGTAACTTACATCAACTCCTAGAGAGCCGCCTGATAAAGATTCATTTTGCAGTTCCTTCAGGTTTGTGAGGTTGCCACATTATATGTTCTCTACAATTCATTAATGGTGTCTGCCTTTGTAACTGTATACTATTCTCAAGTTATTTTTGACGAAATAAAGGGAATAAAATATACAGTAGAGTAAAGTTCACAGTGTATAATTTGACGTCACAAAACAGGCGAGTTCAAAACTTGTGGTTTCGTGAGAACAGATTGGAAACTTTGAAGCACTTTATTTTATGTTTGTCTTGGGAGTTAGCAGGTTCCATATGTCTTCATAGTAATCGAATCTTCTGAATTTAGAGGTAACCCACTGGCGAGAAGTTTAAAAGTGCGATTCAGTGTAATGACACGCAATTGGGCTCCAATGTAGAATTACTTATTGGTCAGCGCACGTCCATCGGGCGGTCCGGGCTTGCGTGTCCATTTAGGTGGCCTCTAATTGCCTCACTAATATGCCTTTAATAGGCATTGGAGTGAACAAGAAAATGACCTACTTTATGCATTTTGTGTCCAAAGATTCTAAATATAGATGTAAAACTATATATTCTTCAATAGAGTCTACGCCTATGTTCCTATGTTTCGCCTATGTTACTTAATTTACTAATGTGTGGCACGTGCAATTTATGATTGATGATGTTTACAACCCAGTTTATAACGTTATAAATATTTGATTAACAATCGGGTTCAACAAATCGAAGTCTGATATCACGAGATGGCAAAATTTGAAAGACAGACCGATTTCTAAACGTAATATATGTATATGTAATATTAATCTTTTATCGTGTAACATGTTATTTCTGTTTTTGTAACATAATTTTTGTCAATAATAATAATAATAATAATTTTTTATTGGTCCTCATTCTAATAGGCAATCAGAAATTCGCAGTGGCGTAGCTAGAGGTTTTGGCGCCCGGGGGAAAGAGTAAAAATTGCGTCCCCCCCATTATAATTATAATATTTTGAAATTAATTGATATTGGTTGTATAGACTTTAAGCATAATGCGTACTGTACGTCTATCGGGACGTCCATATAATGCACTGTCTAAATAATATTATTTAAACCCGAATAACTATTATTATTCTAGCTCTCGTATGTTCTTTCTTACCAGGGATTGGGGCCAGGATTTGCCCCAGGGGGTCCAATGTTGTGGGGGGGGGAGATGCCCCGACGAGGGGGAAGATTTCCTTGAAGAGAGCAAAGTGGGATGTTCGAGCGTCGCTTAAAATCTTCCGAAAGTGGCCTAGAGTCTACTAATATTTACAAAATACATAATTTTTTTTCTCCCCAACGAATTACGGTTTTCCTCCCCGACGAAAGGGGGGGGGGGGGAATATATACATTTTTTTCTCCCCAACGAATTACGGTTTTCCTCCCCGACGAAAGGGGGGGGGGGGCGCAGCTATCACCGAAGGGGGCCCTGGCGCCATACCTGTCTCTTACTATTGAACCTGCATTACAATGTTCGGAACTTTGTACGGTATACAACTTTACCATTATCCATACATCTCAGTATTCTTATTCTATATATTTATCTTATACTAGAGTCTTGTAAGTTGCTGAATTTTTAACATTGTTTAAACTTGCAACTGAATTTTGTGTGCTTTTGTATCAGCAAATAAGTTAATAACATGATCAAAGTTAGCAATGTTGTCTGCTTCATCACGCTCAAAAAGTAGTGCCAAAGCAGATAGTCTCGCTTTTCCCATCTTGGCTCTGAGAAATGGCAGGATGAGCTTTAGTCATGTAGTAATTACAAAATAGGATAAAAAAACAACAAGAGAAAACGGTCGAAATGGACTGAAAAGAAATCACAATATATGAATTTGCCAATAAAAAAACAACATTCGGATTCTTATTAAAATATTCATGCCTGACCAAAAATACATCAATTTCGTCGTGTTTTTCTAAAATGTGCTTATTTTTTACTCTCATTCTCCCATTTCAGCTCCCCCTCAAACGTGGCACCGGCACGTGCCCCCCCCCCCCTTTGACCCCTAGCTACACCACTGGAAATTAGGGCTGAGCCCATGGGGATACCCGTTCGCAGTGCAGCGCCAAACAACTACAACATAATGGACACATACGGATACAAACATTGTCCTACCAGCCTAACTGTCAATATGAGGGTTATTCAGGAGCCAGGCGGTCGCTCGCCAGGTTTGAACCTGGGTTTTCAGCACAAGAAGCAGGAATATCTCTCAGCCAACCGCTAAAAGCACCCCTAAATAATTATTAACAGTGCTCGTATAAGAACACGATGTTATAATCGCATCAAGCATAGCTCTTCTAAGAAACGGGTTTTTCACAGTTGCATTAAAAAAAAGTGTCCCTGACAGGATTCGAGCTGCAACCTCTCGCTATCAAGTCAATTATCATACAGGTGTGTTTGTGGTCCTACCACCTTCAATTACTTGGGACTTTCTCACTTTAGCTCATAGACAGTTCAACCTTATAATACTCCGTTTATTCACTTGATTTTTGTACTAAGATGTACCACGTACCAAGTGTCACGTTTAATGTTTTGAAGTTTTAAAAGACATTGGTAGACTGCAATATGACCGGGCTCATGACATTATAACTGGGGGGGAAAAACCATCATCTCCCTGTAAGCGTATTATGTTTGGGATACAGCACACGGAGGTCATGGATACAACTCTATTGGGACTCAATAGTTTACGTCTAGCAGCAGCTCCCACAAGGTAATTCAAATTGCAGGTTATACAGTTCATTAATATGTCTACTCCCAAGGTATTTTAAAGCTAAACAATATGTGTATTTCAATATCCACCACGGATTCATGTTTGTTTTTAATTAGCTTATCCCATGTTAAAATGGTAAGCCCCTGGGGGCGAGTCGTACCGCCTGTACAATACGGTTAAAATGCACCTGCTCAAAATTTAAAGTACGGGATCTGCCTTGGTAGTCAAATGTATGAGCGCTATAAATCAAACTGTGCAACTATGGAGGTACGGTACAATATAGCCGTCATTTATATACTACCCCTATGATTATACCAGTGACATCGACGACGGTACCTTAAATCCTTCATGATAACCCCAGATCATATCACACCAGTCTCGTCTTGACGTCTTGTTGTGGAAAATAAAATTATGAAAATTATGAATAATGAAATTTTAATGATAAATATTTTGTAACCCGCAATTACCAACACTTTTTATAATTTCGCAACCAGAAAATTTGGAGTTCTTATAAATTTACGTTACCAAAAAATACAAATAGGCCTAATTCAATTTAAAGAATAAGATTTTATACAAGAAAAATGTTTTTAGGTTAATTTGAACTTCTAAATAGGACACTTCGGACAGCATTTTTATATGCAAGTACCGGGGCTATTGTGTCATATTCATTTTCGTTGGCTTGAAATCTTAAGACGCCACCCAGCCCTAGAGTAAGGCCTACATTATTTACAGTTTATCAGGTTCGGAAATCCCCTCTATCTTACTGCTCAATATTTTATTTATCACGTCTAAAAATATTTATTATGTACATTTTTGTAATATTTACAGTAAACGATTTCGGCGGTGTGCACTGTAACTGGCAAAAGTTTTGAAAAAAGACATAATTTGATAATGGTTGTTAGTGGATTCCGACACATTCTTTTCAAAGACGTACTATTACTGATGATAGCGGGCTTACAATCTAAGGTCGGGGTTTCGAGTCTCTGCTGTGCAGATTCGCTTGTGTCCTTGGGCAAGGCTTTAGCTACCATGCTTCAGCCCACCCAGCTGTATCAATGGGTACCAGCAAACTGGGGGACTAACCTGCGACGGACTAGTGTATCGCCCAGGAGGGAGTACAACTCCCATCCGCTTCACACAACAGAAACTGGGGATAAGCTCCAGCCCTATGAGCCCTTGTGGCTCGGAAAGGATTTAGTAGTAGTTAGTACTATTACTGACGCTCGATGATTATAGTACGTCCCTGATTTGAAATAGGCCTGTATTTTATAATTTATATTTTTCCAGCACCAAAGCTGTCCTGCCCTCACACGGAACGGTTTAATCCAGGGGCGACCATAGACATTCAGAAGCCACGTAACCGTTTTTTTTTCTATGACATTAATCACTGAATGTGGATGACTAATCAAAAGTATGGCTGAAAGATAACCTCTGATATGAATTTGATATCGTTATGATGATTTCTTATTCAACGATGGAAAACAGACAACTCACATCAATATATTATGCATTTATTGATTTAATCTTACTTATGATATTCAAACTCATCAACGTTTGTGAATAAGTTGATTAAGTATACCATGATATTCTTAGAAATGGATTATTGGAAATGTGCCTAGTGGCAAATGGAATTAGAACAAAAGAAACAAGCATGCATTAATGCAGTTACAATAGTGTATCGTGTAATGATGATATTAATGTGTATGAACATTCAATAATATTTTGATCATGAAAATTACAAATATAATTACTAGTGGTCTAACATAATACAATTTGATATTGTTAGTGTATTGCATAATGAATTGTTATGTAATGGATTGCACCTATTCAAACAAATAGGCCTAATATAAAAACGATCTCAAATTCTGTAAAAATAATATTAATCCTTAACTTGAAATAAATATATTTTTATTATTATAAATATTTTTTTATCCATATAATTTGTTTCAATTAACTATTTTCTGGTGCTAGCTCAACTTTTTAAAGAATTTTTTTCAACTTAACAATTATTTTTTTTCCGTGCAACAAATATTTTTTTTAATTTCTACAGTCGTGTATAAGTCATATCGAATAGGGGCGATGGGTCACCCATAAGGTTACACATGCTTCCCTGGCGACTAAGTTGAGGTAGAGTAGGACTTTTAAAGTCAAGTATCTGTGAATGTTTCGCCTGGAAGGTTTCTTTTGTTTTCTTAAATGTATTCAGCTTCTTGTTTGTTTGACTTCGAGGGTGCGGCTGATCAGTAGAATATTTAGGCCTACTTGTTGAAACGATAGAATTATCATTCTCGTCGACAACAGCCGGAGCTAGAATCGTATGACTATGTGACAACGGTTCTGTTCGGTTGGAAATGACGACTTCGGGTACCAGACAATTCGGCAGGATTAAGTCGTCATTCTGAAGACAGATTGGTTCATCTTGGCATGGATGTGGAAATTTGGCGTTGTCTTGAAAATTTGGAGGAGCTGGAATTACGTCATCATTAAAAGCAATAGGAACTGTGTATAACACAGGCATTTCGCATGGTAGTGGTGGTGGCGGTAACCAGGTAGGAGACTTTAAATATGATGGTGGCGATGGCCAAGTATAGTCACCAGCAGCTGCCCAATCCGTATTATTTAGGCCAGTTTCTTCCACGATCGACTCCGTAGTCACACTCTCTATTCTCGGTAATGTTGGAGTGGACACAATGGAAATCAGACTCGAGGGTCCGGAAGAAGGATGTGGAAGAACTTGGTCGTACCTCAGCATAGGATTTGGTGGTATCATGGTCTTTTCCTCGTGGGTCAAATAATCTTGAATAGCTATCTGTGTATGGCTAATGAACGGTTCATTAGTCTGGTGTTTCTCAACAGGTTTTTGACGAACTATTCGCCTGTCCGTGTATTTGTTTTCCATAGAATCAAGTGATACGAGCACGGTCTCATCACAGCAACTGGTAGACAAGTCCAACGGAATTGCTGTTACCTGTGGATATAATATAAAACCCTGATTTTGCCCTTTGTGAACTACTAAATTATGAGTAAACATCCTACATATATAAATATTGCTCCTTTTAATAATAATAATAATAATAATAATAATAATAATAATAATAATAATAATAATAATAATAACAATTAATACAAATTTCACACAACGAAGAATTATGATTAGGAATTGACCATTAAAAATGTACATATCACTTAAGTTATACTATTAGTAAAAAAAATTGACATAATAAAAGTCTCTAACCTCAGAAACTATTTCGGTCTTCAGTGGTTGCTCATTGCAGCCGTCGTGGAAAACCCAACTGCATGGACTAACATTTAAGCTTCTTCCGGCACTTTGTCTTGTCATCAATTCTCCCGCAACATCATCATAATTGGGGCTCTGTACGGAGTAAACAACGTTGTTAGTAAAATGTGTTCATTTAGAGTGAAAAAATATGTAGGAATACAGAGTGAATTATGTAGGATAATAGGCTTCCTTTATAGTGCACGTAATACAAAAAAAAATGACATGTAATACATCTATGTGAAGAAACATGGATAATTAATGTAAACATTCATCTTTCACCTCAACTTCTCCATTCCATTATAAATTTATGATTGTAAATGGTTGCATTAATTGCTTGGCTGTTAAATTTCTTTTACATCGCTTTTGTGGATTCCGACACATTCTTGTCAAAGACGTACTATTAATGACATGTAATACATCTTTCTGAAGAAAAACATGGATAATTAATGCAAACATTCACCTTTCACCTCAACTTCTCCATTCCATTATAAATTTATGATTGTAAATGGTTGCATTAATTGCTTCGTTGTTAAATGTTCTCTTACATCGTTTTTCCGTTCCTTTAGTTTGCTGCTATTGTACTTTCCAGTACTTTTAAATTTAAACAGCCACGGCATTATGATTTCAAAAACAAGTCAGCAGGCTCAACAGAAAAGTTTTAACGATAGTGGACAATAGAGGGCTTCTGGAGATATGATTACATTTCAGAATTACTGTACACTGTCACTGCTGATAGTCAACTCTATCACGGCGCTATAATGATGTTAAAGGAGTGTAAACAAATTCGAGATACTTTCAAGATATAGGCCTAAAGATGTGTGTCGCCATACGCAAAAGGCACAGGCGATAGCAAAGATTATTAGTTATTGTAACCAATCATTTATTTATTGAAACATCAGTTGCATACGAAAAACAGCCTACCTTCTTTCTTTCAGATGATTGGTGAATACGCTTGATATCGGCTAAGTAATGCTGAAGTCTTGAGCGAATGCGATGTGTTATTATAATAGTGTATATGATGCCGAAAATCGATGAAACCAGGCCAATCACTGTTCCGACTAATGTCAACAAATAGGCTAAAAAAATTACAAGAGTGATCTTATATTTTCTTAGCTTATTTTTTTTAAAAGATATTTAGAGTAAAGTTTCAAATGGATTAAGTAATTAAATATAAATCAATTCAATTCGATGTTCACTCATCTAAATGGTAACTTATGACTATAAAAAAAATACATGCTAAAAACAATTGACAAAATTTTATGAGGAAATTATAACATCAGATAGGTAATGTTTTAAATAATTTAGACCTAATTCAGAGGTACATAACTAATCAACTTGTTTTCTCTGTGTTTATATTGCGTTTACCAATATATATGACATTGTTTTTGTCCGCTAGAATTTCGTTTTTATTCTGAAAAGCACCGTTGAAATACTTCCACTCAACACACTTGAGAATCGAGACATTCGCGATGCAAACTGCACACACTAGTATTTGCATCGCCAAGATCACAGCTACCTGGACCACGTGTTCAAAGCAAAAAATAAAAATAACATATGTTAGCATTGCCATAATTGAAATTCAAAGGTATGTAGGCCTCTATTTTTCATCTACCAATATAGAAAGTCACTAACCAACAGCCTGCGGCCTATATGTAATCTACCTTACAAAGTTTACTTCTCTGTGCATTAAGAATGTCAATTCGTAAGCAACATCTTTGAGGACTTTATCACACCTGAACTTAAAATGATATCGTGTTTCCTGGGCGTATAGTGTCAGAAAACGTAGGTAAAAAATAACAGAATGGTACTCTTTTCTTCTGGTATAGAAAAACCAATCTTTCAGTAACGTTTGCATGCTCTGAACACCCACTCTGCTCAACTTTTTTTCGTAGACCTATAATGTATATACTTATGCGAGATGATATTGTCCTACTAACAATTAAAAGTACAGATCAATAAATTTCACCAAATTAGTATATTGTTATATTTCAATAGTATTAATATATACCGTTTGTGGTGGAAACCAGTTAAAAATCAACAAAAAACGAATTCCCCACTTTTAGGAGGATCTATTTTCACAAATAAACAAAAATCACCAAAAGCTAGTGATCACGGGAGGCCTACTTCGAATGTTGAGAAAATCATTTTCCTCATTATATTTCTGTCAAATTGCAAACTGAAAATATGCATCACCTACCTTTAATTTGTTTAAATATTCCATGCAGTTACAGAGGGCCAGGATGTAGACCCCTGTAGCAAACACCTTTAAATAGAAACAATAGATTTACATTATTTGTGTAGGCTTATACTGTACTGTAGGTCTAGATCTTTATGTACTTACATGTTTTAGTGTTACAGTAATTACCGTATTATTACTCTTCTTTACTCCATTACTATGTTTATTATAAAAAATGTGCTGCATGAGATCTGTATTATTTAGCCTAGTATGTGAAATGGCTTTTAGATATTTTACAAACGTACTTTAAAATAAAGATCTTCCATGATTGTAGTTGTAACAATTAGCATCATTTTCAACCTATGTATTCACACAAAGAACTTAAAAAAACTGAATTTTTATATGACTAAAATCACCTATATTTAGATAATATTTTACAGTAAAAACTGATGGATAGGCCCATACTAAAGTGGTAAGTAGAATAGATCATGTGCGTATAAAGTGAATAGGTTAGGCCTACTAAGGGGTTGTATTCACAATTATCAACATTTTTACAAGTGTACAGACAGTACTCTTTTTCGGTACCCCCTCCCTCCCCTCTGAAAGTGTACACACAAAAAAAGCAAAAGCATTCCCATTTTTTTGTGAAGTCAACTAAAGCAATGACGTATTTGGTTGCTTAAAAATAATATTATATCCATATAGTTACATTGTAATTTTACCGTTATTTTACATATTGCATGTTTATTTTGAATCAACATTTTTATGCATATGTAAGAGTGTACAAATTTGACCCCTAAACTTACCAGAATTCCACCCCAAATCACGGAGCCAGTTTTGAACAACGGATACTCCAACACGATTCTAATTCCAAGGGTGGCCATCAAAGCACCAGCTACTACATACGCAATTGCAAAACAGGCCAGACCACAGATTGTTCTATCTCGATAGTAACTTCTTCGCTTTTTGTTTTTAGCCATAGTAGTTTTATTCAACTACGGTCTGTCTGATATTGGATATTTGAAGAGGGAAAAGAGAGTGAATCAATAAATGCATACGTTATTGTTCTCGTTCCTCTTCGTGTTGCCCGTTATGACCGTTAGTTCAATTCAACTGTACACCTGCTCACATATTATTGTAAATTCACAAAAATTTACATAATGTATAGGGACGTCACACACGTTAATCCCTTACTGCTTTCAGAAAGTTGAAAATGGTAACTTTATTTATTCATTACATGTATTCATTCGACCAATGCACATTTACAATAGGTACAATACAACAAATTTTAGCCAGGGCCAGTTTAGCAATGGAATCAATTGATTTTGATAAATAATCATATTAAATCGATGTCAACCAAATATAGGACTATTGTTTCACCATTCTTAAACGAAATTTTAATTCTGATTGGAGGATATTGTTCTATCCAATTTATATATATACAATAACATCCAGTCAGAATTAAAAATCGGTTTAAGGCTGGTGTAACAATGGCCACCCCACGGCAAAGTTGATATTAGTACAGTTTAGAAAACGCTTATCTCTCAATACTTACAGTGATGGTATAACAAAACACAGATGTATTTGGTTCCCTGATACAATCTCAGTAGAAAATTGAAGTATATACAGATAGCTTACTACACACAAAAATCATATTTTAAAAAGTTACAAATGGTAAAATGTACGCTGATATAAACCTGTGGAGATATTTAGTTAAATATACATATTTAGCTTACCAGAAGAGAAACTTTGCTTTAGCGACGCACTATTTATGTTAAATTTTTGTATTATGTATGTCGGGCCGGAGGACACATTATACAGTGAATAAATGTCCTAGACTTTGTGTCTAGGAACGAATGAACTAACGTATTAAGATCCCTGCCTACCAAACTATCAGTAATGTTGCATGTAAATATCTGCTGCCCTCTAATGAGGTCACTTAGAAATCGTAATATTCGTTGAAGGCAACAGCAATACAATCAATGAACGTTGTGGTAAATAGTGTGATGAGATAGTAAATACAATTACTTGTTGGTTTTGTAAAGAACCGTTGGGTTGTGTGAGTCGAAAAAACTACTGTATTTATAGTTGTCTCCAGCAAACGATTATTATTATTATTATTATTATTATTATTATTATTATTATTATTATTATTATTATTATTATTATTGTTATTATTATTATTATTATTATTATTATTCTTATTATTATTATTATTATTATTATTATTATTATTATTATTATTATTATTATATCAGTTTCTAAATCTAGAAATAGTTTTACACAACCCAACAGTTCTTCTGAAAACACGAAGGATAGTACATAAGAATTCACTGATTCTACATAAGTCTCCAATTACTACCGGTATTTAAAAATATCTTAATGACGTCTTAGGTCACGTGCTTCAAACAATTACTACCCAGTAACACAGATTTGGTCTCCATGATTAGGTTCACTCTCTTACAGTCAATACTATTGTTTAGTTGTGTTAATTAGATTTCAGTATTTTGGTGACCAAATTTTTAACGATTTTAAAACTTCAAATCTAAAACTTTCTTATTTTAACAAAACACTTTACCTGCCATGTTTTGCGAAAATGGAACTCCGTCCATATCCGGATTCGCATGGCTACACACTCTACATAAACAACGGGTGAATTTAGATTTACATATTCAGTCTTCGCCGTTTTAAAAGACATCGCAACTGGAAATACATTACCATCAAACAATCACTCATTTCCACCTTGTAAAAAATTCAAATATCATAGACAAAATAAAAATCAGTGTATTTGGGATATGAAACTAAAGCCTGACAATGTACTGAACTGATTTTGTACAATTGTTTTTGTTATACCTCTTATAGTTAGCAGGTAGCATACATAAATAAGTTAAAGAGAAACTTGAAATTAACACTGCATAGAATTTTGTGAGAAGCAAAATATTCCTTCAATTTACTTCTTTCATCAAAGATTATTTGCCACAATTATTTTCAGTATATAAGTCTATTTTGTTTAATTATTAACATTAGTATTGGTAAACCAGTAATAAAAACCAGTATTTGCATTTCTCCATCATACATTGTGGATAGTAACAATCGAAACATATGGGTATTGGCAAAGAATTTTGTATGCAATACAAAATCAAAATACAAATAAGAAGCATACAAAATCAACATAAAGCACTGGAACATTTTTGTCTGTATTCTATGAAAAATTCAGCTACCGATTCATAATAAGAAAATTATATTAAATAAAAATAACAGCACAGCATAAGCACCACAATACAATATTAGCAAAGATTAAACAATCAAAAAATGAATGAACCAATTTACCTACAAGTAGGCCTAAACTTCCCTTTTTTTTTTTATAAAACTTAAATCAATGTCTTACAATGTATGTTGATTAAAATGTTCACTATTTGGATAATGAAATTTAGTTTTGATCAAAATATGAAAAAGACACTATTGTTTTCAGAACTGAGAAACCAAATGTATATTATAAATTGTAATACTATTTGAAAATCAATCCTTATTCATATGTATATGAATATGAAAGGTGTGTATGGCAGCACAAATTTATGAATTGCTAAAATCAAATTTTGTAGAACAAGGCTACAAACTATAAAGTACTGATGATAGAAACGGAATCATGTCTTCTGCCTTTGGTATACACACATTATGAACCCAGGTACGACAATGTTGCATAGTATATTGTCCAAAATAACATAATTAGCATATTCTATGTAAATTTCCACATTATCTTCATAATAGCTCCATTCATGAGCAAATTAAAAATATACTGTCTGCCATAAGCTTAAAAACCCCATGCTTAAAAAATTGCATGCTTAAATTTAATTTGTATACTTATGTTTTAACAATTAGACATTTAAATGAGAAAAAAAATTCCTGTCATTTAAAAGACAATTAGGTAATACCCTTTCTGTATTCTTTTGCATAGACCCTTAAATTGTCTGGTAATCAATTTATGGATTTTTTTAAAATAGTAAAACATTTTTCTTTCAATTTGATCCTTTTAAAAGAGTTTTTCAAGATTTTAGTTGAATTTTCGAGGTTTTATTCTTTTGGCTGGCACTAAATCTTTAATGAAATTATAATTACACTTTCAAATACAGTCCTGACAATACTATATAAAACAGTATGAGTAATGGAAAAGCAGAGAAATGACACTGTAAACTTCAACAATGTGAATCCAGCACTTCAATGCACATGTAAATTAGCAACCGGTGATTTTGAGATTAGGAGGGACTTTTTTATTCCTTGTTTCGCGTACTTATTTTTTTAAAGATTATCTGAGGAGGGTGGAATATAAATAAAATTTTGTTTTCTTATTTAGCCAATAGTTTTGCCACAACCATCCAGACGGAGTAGAAAATGAATATAAAATGTTATTGGTGAATGTAACATAGGATGGTTAAATGCTTCAAATTTATATAATTAGGAAGAAATACACATCTTACATTTTACCTTTGGAGATTTCAAGGCAGAGGAGGGCCTAATAAACATTTTTTTCTGAAATTTCAACACGGGTGTGCTAATTGGCCAAAAATAAAATTTTATTTTTTTTCAAAATCATCAATATTTGCAGCCGGCGGGTCCGCTAAACAAGGTATAAAAGAAGTCTCACCGTATGAAATCAAAATTGAAGGTTTGACCAGAATGCAAAAATGTAAAGCAAAATTGAAGGTATGACCAGAATGCAAAGATGTAAAGGTAAGCCTGACACTCACTGCGACCGATGGCCATCAGCCGACGAAATTTATGAACACAACACCGCAAAGTGTGCGGAACAGAATTTTTTAAAATGATGATTCTTTCAGGCTGCCTTCGATGATCAACAGACGGCATTGCATCATCTAATGTTTACGGGGAGCAGAGTTGGGTTCACAGGTCGATGGGCGTACGACCGTCGTTCGACACAGGTACCCGGCTTAGGAAAATGTTTACATCACACTGCTTGATCTTATTTAAGTTCTACCCCACTTTTTTTCTAAGAAATAATTCCATCTTAATTGTCGTTTTCAAGGTTACTATAATTTTGGTTAATATCATACCACTGGACTGAATTAGATATTACAGTTTACGGAGACTTTCAATATATACTTCAGATTTTTTGTCAATCTATTAGCATGTTTTCTAAGTGCAAGTATTGATGCTGTTAAACTTGCTACAACACATGAAATAAAGGTAAAAAGACAACACTTTATGACTCATTGCAATTCTCTGAAATGAAGTTCCAAAATATGCACCTTTTGGAAGATACTGCTGACTACCAACAACTCCATTCCCAATTGACCTGTCAATTGAGCTTAACATCTGACCAATCAGAACGCACATGTTCCACAAACACGCACGTTTACGCGGTCGTTTTGTGGTTCCTTTGCAACATTACTAAAGGAATTGAGCTTACATGAACAGAGCACCTCATCATAGATATCCCATCAATCTTGGACAATTCATTTATAATTAATAAAAAAAAAAACATATCAATTGCTTGAATCCACAAACTCATTAGTACTGTACTGGACTTTGTACAATAAAATCTTCTTAATGCTATTGTCATGTAACTACAGTATCAGTCCTATGTGTCAATGTGATACAAGTCACATGATTTTACAATGTCAGTGTATGCACCTCATCTTTATCCACGCTATTTTTATGTGATCCCTCTGCGATTTGACTTAATGTGGGTGTCAGTCGAGTAGGTGAGCAGTAAGGCAGGGGCGCCGCTAACTACAGCCCTAACATCAGCGCTGGTTGCAGCTGCTCCTCACCCAGGATTCGGTTGGTAGAACCAAGCGTTCTCAGACAAGGACTTAAATTGGAGTCCAGTGTACACATCTGGCTTCTGTGCACTGTGAAGAACCCAATGCATCTTTCGGAAAAGTAGGGGGTTACCCAGATGATATGGTTCATTTCAGCAATTGTCATTGTAAAATGATGTGAAAATGTAGCTACTATAAGCGTCTCTTTACAGCTGCTAGGTAGTCACGGACCACGCCCATATGCAATTCAGCACGATGACGCTGCTAGTTATGGGTTATTCTCCTACCTTTACCTTTACCTTTACATATGACATTATTATGTCCATATATGGGCAAATCATTATATTTGTAACAGAAAACATAATAGTTTGAACACATCATAAGACATATGTGAGGTCTCACTACAAAATGAGTCTCACCATTAGAAAATCAGAAAATGAGTTTATATTACATTTTGGTAGATCACATTATAAGCTTTCATTGGGTCTTTGAATGGCTTCCCTAGGATAAATAGATCCATAGATGTTAGCATTTAAAGTTTAGGTGTATGAGCACCAGGTTTTGAGAAAATCGGCCTCAAAGATAAACTAACCTTAAATAATAGGACTAGAATTACAGAATATACGAAAAGAACACTGTTTTAGTAAGAAAATTCACTTAAAAAGTACACAATCATAAAATATAAGTTCCAAGTTATTCAAAAACATTAAAATCAAAATTTTGTAAAAATGTTGCCTTTGACCTATTTTGGTGAATATCTCAATAGGATTTCACCAACGATGCATCTCATTTCGTGGTGAGACCTCACATATTTGTGTTACCTCTTGAATTCGAGTCAAAGGGTTGTAGTATGGTAAAAAAAATTAGCCTCCATGTCCAACCAAATTACTCTACCACTGTAAGTGGCTCGCCATTAGCATACTAGGCAAATTTGTGACCATAAAAATTCTAATAATACTGAAGATAAAAACTGAAAGGTCCACTGATTAATCTCAGATAAGAAAGTATAATACATACTCCAAGTATTGAAATACACACCATCGTGTTGGGATTTAATATTTCGACATTAATTATGTCATCATCAGGAATTATACTTTCTTAACTGAAGATAAAATTTTTAAAGTTTTTTTTATTGTTTTATCACTTTAGGCATAATATACCCACTTTATTTTTTCTACCTAATCCATATGTAACATTACATACAGTACCACATCCTAGGTCTTTTACAACCCTATTAATCAGAGCCAATAAACTGATGGATAGCGCTGGGTGTTTCTAATTGAAAAGACATAAGTGAATGAATGCGAACTCCCCTAAATTATTACATGAACAGCTGGTTAAGTAATAACTATCATGAATATCAAAAGTTTACACTTTTATAGTATACTCTATAAAGCCGAGGCAATCACTACGTCCGACGATCATCGACCGATGCGATTCTATGCAGAGCACAACACCACGACACATGCGGAACAAAGCATTTTAAATGATGATCCCTTCAGACAGCCACAGACAATCAGCAGATGGCGTCATGTTATCTAGAGATCAGAGGGTGCGCAGTTGGATTCGTCGCCTAACGGTCTTACACAGTGACTGTCCGGCTTAAGATTCTAATCTTAGTACTATTTATAAACAAAATGGCTACTTAATGTTTTAGAAAGTGAAAATTTAGAAATGTTGATTGTAAAATTGTTGGTTTGTTTAATGACAAACAAGTGGAAGTATCTTGTTAAAGCACTGTTAACTGTATCTTTGTTTTAATCTAAATGTATTTAGGAATGAATAAGTATAAACAGGTTACCAATATCAAATTGGAAGACATTAAGCAAATTTTCTAACAAACACAATCCATGATTAATAAGTTGGTAAATGTACATGTTAACAAACTATTAAAAAAGTAGTTTATCCACAATAACAAACTCATACCAGATGAATGTTTTTGAGATTTTGTAATTAGTATACCACATCGGCAATAAGCAACCAGAATGCATTTGGGATGATCGCTTTATTAAATTTGGTGTGATTAAAAAAAAAGAAAAAAAAAAGCAAATTATCCTAGCAAATTTTTTTTTTTTGAGTAATAATGACTTTTTTTAAAAACACATCAGTCTATTTCGTGGTCAATGCTAATTAGTAGACTTAGGTCTCCTAAATAAAACAATGTTTGAATTTGTTATTAATGCATGGAACAACTAAATATAACCTAATTCTTTTGAAGTAATTTAAGCTGAATTAATTATATGTTATTTCTTTATAGTTTTACATCCTCCGATTTCTTAGATTACAAAGGATTAAATGGTTTCAAAGAATACCAATTAAAAATTACAGTACTTGGGTAGGTACTAATTGAAAAAGCTTATCTGAGAGTGGGATGCTGATTATAGTAAACATGGTAATCAAGATGGCTAATTTTCATTAATGTTGTTCAAATAAATTGAACAAAATATTTTAGTAGCATTATAAAAAATATCTAATAAAATAAAGTAATAGTGTCTGAATAAACTGTAAGACAGGAAGTCCAATGCAAATTAGCCTATTGTTGTTCACAGGACAGAAAGCTCTGGACACTCAATTTTAGCAAGAATTTTAAAATGAATGTGGGCTCAGAATTAAATGACTAAAAATCGGTGAGATGTCAACTGTAAGTGTTTGATCAGATTTTGATGCATGCTTTACCTACCAACCAGCACAAACACAGTTTGTTTGATCATAGTATATTATATGTTAAAAGAACTTTTTGTCTGATCTGATAATCTGATAAAAATATTTCTGATAAACTGGTCTGGGTTTACTATTACTTCATTACTTGAATACAAAAAATAAGGATTATTAAAACTGATGATTGACTGATTTGGTTCACTGAATGTGGTTAGAAACCGAAAGTTCATTTTAGTTTAATCATTATTGCTTTAGCTGTTTTGATTATAGTTTTAATACTTGTAATGAATAAATTAAACATAGCTCATTTATGGCATACACATAATATTCCATTATAATTTAATATATGTAAAATACACTTGTGTAACTATAGTTACTCTTACAACAAATGAGATAGAAAAGCTCCCCTATTGGAGTTAAAATCTGCAGCCTCAATATTACATTGGAGTAAACAATTAAACAATCTCGACCAATATCATTCTACCAATGAGAAAAACCTTACCAACTCTTCTGAAACCTGTATAAAACGATCCTACCTCTTTCAGATTTGTTTAACATTTTAAAATAATGTTTATTTCTGACATCATCATTCTACATAACAATACCAAGTCAGTTGTTATACAACCATTAAATTACAATCTTTCAAAATATGTAACCAGATACATTTTCAATCTTTACAATTAAAAAACTCATCTTGATTTTGTTAAAATCTTCTTTTCGCAATCAACCTGAATTCTACAGGCTTGGTGTACAGCCTCAGTCTGTCAGTGGACAACGTAGTAGTAGCCTGGCAGTCTTGATTGGTCAACCAAATCTAGTAGCCTAGGCAGACTTGTTTGATCACCCAACTGTCAGTAGTATAGTAGTCTAGGTAGCCTCAATCTGTCCTTGAACCAGCAGCAGTAGTAGTTAAAAGCAGACTCGATTTGATTTGACACAGGAAAAACAAAAAGTTACTGGGACTTGCTACTCAACTTTCTGTTCCTTTGCCTAAAAAATACAAAAAAAAATATCATATTAATAAAATTTCTCCAGCTATCTGTGGGTGTCAGTTAACTTGGTACTGTTTTAAAGTATGTCTTTTTTTTGTATATATATATTTTTGATACGTTTGTTTTGTTTGTTTTTGATATGTAGGTTTGATATGTATGTTTTAATCTCCCTTCTTGGAGGTTTACTAATAAATTAAAATAATTTACCTGGCTTCAGTTCTTGCTGTGGTGTATTCAAACCATAAAATATTTGGAATTAATGTTGAATCACGAATCATAAAGTATTCTGACACACCCCACGACACAACCCAGGGGAAGAAAGGAGTGAATACCACCTGAAAGAATAACAAAGTTTAGTTTAGTATGTTAAATTTGGAAAAAATGAACATAAAGTATTATATTATTACTGTCTGATTCCAGAATATACAGAAATGACAAAACATCACCATTTAATCATCTTTATCATCATAATCTCCCATTGCATCATTTCAAATTAAAACAATAATTATTTTAAAAAATACTGTAAACCTTTTGTAAAACTTTTAAAAATATACATAAGAAACACAAATTGTTTAAACTTAATTATGAGTCTATGTAGGTTTTCAGTGACAATATTCTGACCATCAACAGAATATTCAAACATTTTTGAAAACACTTGTGAAGTATCACTTCAGTGTCTTTATCTTATCAGAAATTTACTATAGAAATAAACATGAGGTAAAAATAGCTTACATGCGTGAGAAAAAACCATGGAATTGCAAGGATGATACCAAGTAAAGCTCCACACAAAACCTGAGATGTAGTGTGATACAGAAGGTAAATCCTATCAAAAGAAAACACAAAAAAATGTATGAGATTTTGTTTATTTACATTATTTTCATCATCTTCAATCAATCAATCAAATAAACATTTATTTCTTCTAATCAAATCAACCAATCAAACAATAAAATCATGATGTTAAAATTAATTCAAAGGCACAAAAGATCATAAAAAAAAAACATGTAACATTGAAATAAACAGATTTGATTAAATGAAAGAGGGCCGTGCTCAAAAAAGGAATGCCAAAAAAGAATTCTCATATGACACTTGTAGCGATCATGCCCTGAATAATTCTACAAGCTCAATTTTGTTTAATTAAACAAAAAAATCTAAATAATCATCATCATTATCATTATGTTTTATTTTTTTTAAATAAAGAAAGTTCATTTTCATTTTTGTCCAATTTCAATGTTTTTTTTTCCATGAGTTTTAACTGTTTTCTTTGTATTTTAATTGTAAAAGGTGTTACATAAAATTGTAGTTTTGGCCTAATTTTAATGATTTTTTGTGATGCACCTCTGAACAATTTTTATTGGAATAGGCACAATATAAATAAAATACATTATTATTACTATTCAAATTATTGTTGTAATTAATTTTTTATTTATTAAATTACTTATTTATTAATATATTAGTCATCACTATGATCCTTATTATTGTTCTTATTACCACCAGAGGCCTAACAAGAACCAGTTACAGCCCGGATGAACTTTGTTTGATAAAATTTATTGGCAACAAAAGTGTTTGATGGGTTACCATTACAAATTTAAAAGTTGATGTAATCAAAATTAAGTACTTTATTCTAGTTATATTTTTCTTGTCATCATTTATTAATATTATTGTAATTAAAATAATATTATTACATTAAGAGTCTATGAATATACTGTGTATATATTGAGGCAAAACAAATGCCGTGCAACATAGCTTGACTGTTAACAAAAGTTAAACTATCAAAGAAACTAATTATTTTTTTCAACTTGGCCTAAACTAAGGTCTGTCTAACTTACCGACTATACGACACAATAATAGCTAGAATGACTACTCCAAATCCAATTAAAATTCTCCATATATTATCAATAAAACAGGAAGATGTTGGCTGGTGAAGCCTAGAATAAAAATCAAAATGAAACAATAGCATTAAAGGCAATTGAAATGTGTCAAATCATAAATTTGGCACATTGTCTCTAGGGCAGCTGGCACAAACCAAGGTTCAGAAATACAGCAATAGTGAGCCTGTATATCCTCAGTTCATTTTATAATTTATTACAACATTTTTAATACTGTTATCTTGAAACTTGTAATGCAATCACACACTCATGCAATATTTTTATATTTGTCATATATTTTAGTCTCAATGTTAATTATATTTTTATATGCTGTGTTTAATTAAGTTTGTCATTCTTGGTGTTTTAAGCAACTAGCAATACAAATTTCATTGTTCACTTGTTTGTTCGATGACAATGTATTCTTGATTGATTCTTGATTCTGTATGCCAAGCTAGGCAACAGTAGATAGATCTCACTAGGCCACACAGAAACGCATGCCTAGTGCCTAACAAACAAGGTCACCAGTAGGAAGATTTACTTTTTAAAGGTAGCCCAGGAAAGGCCTTGCTAGCATGTTGATGTTATATTTCATTCATTATCTAAGGAACACTGCCATGTGTGTTGAATTTTCATTTGTACACTCTGAAATTTGGGGTGGGTAATACTTAGGCAGCATACAGTATTTCTTTAACAATACAGTACTAAAGGTTAAAGGTTAGTGGTTGGGCTTATACCAGGATAATTAAGCTTAATTATGCCAAATTTTTACCTGATACATATGAAGAGAATTATATAAACGGCAAAGAAGAACATAAACTGTGAGTGACTGGAAGGCATTCCATATTCTCCAAACCCTTCATGACCTGCAATGATTGAGAATAATAGTAATTCACCCATATTAACTTATTAAAACAATCATTGAGCGAATAAAAAATGTTACAGTATTACAATTTTGTATGTGTCCAAAAATACTCATTGACACTTGCATAATGTGCTATGGTCATGCATTACAATTTGGCTATTTGCATGTGGTGAAGAAGGTTTTGCTGCAGTGCAAGTGTTAACAAATTAGCCAAGGTAAAGTTACTATTCCTCGTACTCAAAATGAATCTAATGTGAGTTTATTTTAAAAAAAGGCAGACTGTTCTATTTTTATTTTGAGGGGTGTTCTCTTTTTGGGACAATAGGCAATTAGTTGGTTTATCCAGGTAAGTATTCAGAAAGTAGACAAAAAACTTTATACAGTATTATTAATCTTACCTCGTACAGGTCTCGGTTCCTTAATGAGATGCTTTGCAGTCCAGTTTACAGCCTCATTAAGCACCAAACCAGCAAGAAACGTAATCTAAAAATTAGTATCGGAAACTCTATTAAACAACAAATATAATTTGTAAATCATCATCATAGATCAGTGTTGTCAGGTAACAATGGAGATAGTCCAAAAAAGTTCTTCTGTCATGGTAGCTTGGAATTATTCTTGGATGAGAACTATACTGTATCCCTTTAAAACATTTGTCAACAAGCAAATATAAAATATAAGGATAAATACTACATAAATAGTAAATGACAAAAGAATCATGTTCAACAAAGATATAAAATATATATTTTTTTTTAAATAAATTAAAAAATAAAAATTGTATGAGTTGGAGAAAATATATTTTGAACATCAAAAATTATAAATTGAATATGAAATTATGAATAAAAATAACAATAAAAGGCATTGTGCATCTTAGATGTTTAAAAGGTGTTTTTTACAATAAATCTTGGAAATAGCAACTAAGGGTGATTGAGCAACATGTTTATGGAGGGAGTTCAATAATGGCAGCTAAAAATAAAATGATAATAATAGTGACAGTTTTATCAAGATGTCAAACTTACTGTATGAAGTTCTCTTCTAAACAATAGAATTGCACAAAAACCAACCAAAATGAATATCGGTGTAAGGCTTAAGTAAGCCAACAATTTTCCAAGAAGGTCCCCTTTAAAGAAAAAAGTACAAAAAAAAACATCATCAAATCGTGATTTACACTGGTGTATCAAATCATGTACCTGGTCTAGACTCTCTGGCCTAGAGAAGAAACCCAAGTAAACACCCTGTGTTTTCCTAGGTCATAGGTCCAGGGTTGTAGCTATAGAAAACTTAAGATTGGTGGTAGACATTTTAAAGGTGGGTGGATGATACATTGGTACCCTATATGTAATACAGTAAGGGAGAATTTTAAAGATGGGCAAGGGGGATAAATGTGGGTGGAGTGCCAAAACTTTAAAACATCCAGGCTTATTATTATTATTATTATATCCAATCTATCACCAGCACAACCCACTTCTTACAGGAATTATTGTGGGACGGTTATCTTCTAGCAGCAATCTGACAGATTTTATATGCTGACATTCTGAGTACAGGGTAGTCATGCATTCCAAATCTCTACCTTGAATTACCTTGAACGTTAGAGCATTAGCTCGTTTGTCCCTCCAGAGTCCTTTACAAACTCGCCCATTACAAACTCGCCCCTTAACAAACTCGCCCCTAACAAACTCGCCCCTAGCATACTCGCCAGTTAACAAACTCGCCCACTAACAAACTCGCCCATAGCCTTTCTGTTGGTATGTAGGAGGTACCGGTACCTACCGGTAGGTGGGTGGAATGTACCGTACATTCTACTTTCTGTTATACCGGTACTTATTAATATAGTATTAATTTTATTAATTGTGTTTTTACGATGCTTGACCTATAGCCTACATAATACTACATTTGTATCTTTTCAGTTTTTTACGATTTTTATTGTTTCAGAATTTTTTATTACAATTAAAATGAATATATTATTAGAGTGTTTTTCAGAACTGTATGTACTGTAGTGTTCTTTTAAAAAATAATGTTCTTTTTCTTCTTGCAGTTCCCAGAAATTTCAAGTCAAGTTTACAGTACATACTGTACAGTACAGTATATTTATCAACTTCTGAATAATTTCATTCATAATAAAGGTCTATGCATGTAGTTACGGTATTGATTTAATTGTTAAATTCATAGTAGGCCAACTTTTAAATCTGAATTTTGAAATATACTATTGTACACAATAAAGTTACTGTTGCACACACTACACATTCACTGCCATCCTATGCTTTTGCCTAAAAATAGCGTTTCTTTATGATTCTTTTTATAGCTAGTTTTTTTACTGTATACAGGTATGTGTATTGATACGATAAGATGTGATATACTCTTTATTGTCAAAATAAACTTTCGTTCCATTTGAGATGTGTTTTGCATACATTGGCCTACTCGGGTTAAAAAAAAAAAAGACATGTAAAAATAACCATCTAAATAATACCAATCGTTACAATATACTTAATACAATTGTACAGCAAGTACATTAATTATGATGATCAGCAGATTGCAGACGATCCGAAGTTGGTGACATGTATAAAGTAGGCGAAAAAACATGACACCTTCACTGCTATTGCACGTGTTTGCACCTAAAAATAGATTGTGTATTTAGCATCTGACCAGTAATGCGCCAACATTCCTGAAGGCGGCGTACAAAGAATGTCTGCTTACCCTGAAGAGTACTGTACCGTGGGAACCAAGTAGGTTGTGGGAGTTTCTTCCCGATTTTTTTTTCAATTAGTTACCAGACAACTGGTACAGGTAATAGACCTCCAAAGTAGTGATTTTTCCAGCTTTAAAAAGAAGCCCAAAACCGTGAAATGGCCATGTACTGTACTTTAATTATATTAAAACTATATTTTACTGTATTTCCATTATTTGTGTATTTTATAAAACTCAGAATATGCATCAAAAATGGAAATAAAACAAACAAGAAAATACAAACTTCATGTCTACTTCACCTAAAGGGAGTACAGTGGGAATCTTTTGGGAACCTTTCTTTCCAGGAATTATACTTTAGTTATGTAACTACTATATAAATAGCAAGCAAGTGAGTGATTTTTTTGGGCTTATGAATAACCATTATATAAATATATTGATCATTTTATATGGAAAATATAAATATGAAAAATAAATAGGCCTACTAATAATATACTGTATTTCATTATTTTCATTCATCATATATCATTCAGTATATTTTCATTTATGTATATGTAGGCCTATTATAAACATGATCAGAACAATACGGTAAATGAACGTGACAAGAAAACAAATGTATGACAAAATATCTAGTGATTTGGACAAATAATATGAATACCTGATGCGATACATAATGGTTGACTAATGGTGTGTGAAGAATTCTGATTGGTCAGAAGTCTTCAGGTTTCAAATCTGGTCTAAAAAAAATCGCTCCAGGACTGACTTACCTTATTAGTCCTAGCCTCCTACGTAACCTAGGCCTAGCTAGAGTCTAGGCTAGGCCTAGGCCTAGATAGGTAGGCTAAACGCTCAAACTTACTCAGTCAGCCTGTACTAAGTTAGGTAACCTCCTGGGTGCAGGTCAACTCGGCCACAAGTCAACTTGGCCACAGTCAACTCGGCCACAAGTCAACTCGGCCACAAGTCAACTCGGCCATAAGTCAACTCGGCCACAAATCAACTCGGCCACAAAAATTTCGGCTTCTGCCAACTCGGCCACAAGTCAACTCGGCCACAAGTTATTTAATGTAAATCTTAAGTTTTTGCATCCTTTTTCTTCAATATATGATTGAAATAAAGTACACAGTATGTTTTAGTAAAACAGGACCACCACACTACCAAAAGAGATTTGAATGCTATTGATATGAATTAAAAAGAGTTATTTATTAATGTGTTCGTCTTCTGCTTACTCACAACATTCTACTTCAACAATAATATTAAACAACAATAACGACAATAAATTAGTATATATTTGCATTGATAATACTAATTAGTAATTATGACGATAATAAATGTGATAATAACAACAACAACAACATTAATAGTAATATTTATTTTAACAAATAGTAATAATACTAGTATGGTAATAATAACGATATTTAAATATCAATTTCAATAGTAATACTAATTAGTAATAATAATAATAATGATACTTATAATACTAGGCCTACTTATTAATAATAGGGTAATAATATCGATAATAAAGGTGACAACAATAACAACTTTTTAAATTACTATTATTAAAATTATAATACTAAGACTAATAAATAATAATAATAATAATATGAATAATAATAAAAAATCGAAAATTATTTATTATTTATATGTTACTATAAATATATGTACTATATATGTAATAATAATATCAGCAAAAATTTGAACAATATATAATGTTAATGCTAAGACTAATAATTAATATTAAAACTAACGGTAATAAAAACAATAATAATAACAACAATGACAACAATAATAACAGCAATAATAATAAACAATTAGTACAATGTAGTACCAGTAAATGACTTGTGGCCGAGTTGACTTGTGGCCGAGATGACTTGTGGCCGAGTTGACTTGTGGCCGAGTTGACTGTATGTAGTCAAACTTTTTGTGGCCGAGTTGACTTGTGGCCGAGTTGGATCGAATTCAACCTCCTAACTAATCCAGCGCGGCCTACCCTAGCTAGGTCTAGTTTTCTCATCAGACTGCTGACCAGCAGAGCAGAGGCTAGCATTCCCTAGGCCGGCCATTCCCTAGGCCTACTCCTACTTTTAGCCTAGGCTAGGCCTTAGGCCTAGCCTACTGCTAGACCTAGGCCTAGGCTAGTAGTAGGCTAGGCTAGGCATGCCTAGCTAGGCCGGCCGCCACAGATCTTATTCTTAGTTTTATTTTTAAAGTGACTTACCTTGTGGGTATTCAACGAATGTGAGTGAAACCGGCTTCCATATAACGTCATCCTCAACCATGATCTTTCAAAATATCTCCTCAGTTATAATCCAATACAAAAATAGAGGCCTAATTTTTATAAATTATTCAGGGAGGGGTGGACGTGTCACTTTCTGAATAAGTAATCATCAAAAAAATAATACAACACTTGTGAATTACCAGTCTGAACCGCTACTATTTCATTATTTTTGTGTTTTCCGCACGCTCCGATGGCTCCGATTTCCAGCTCTAGCGCCACGCACGTTATATTGTATTGTTGGGTTAAAAGTAAGAGGATTGAGAGACTTTAGGCCCTTAAAATCTAGATTACAAAGATGGGACGAACAGTATATGCTGAAGAACAAATAAAGGACTTTATAGATATTCTTGATGCTTCTGGAAAATGTAATATAGGCATGATTGTAGGTCAGCAGGTACGTCATTTATGCAACACATATGGCGACGGTGGTGGGGTCTCAGACTCTGCAGAGACTGGTCGTGTGCCTGTCACGTTCCTGCCTGTCCGGTACAATTTGAGAGGTTTGCACAATTTGCAAAATGCGCCAGCTATTACTTGCACAATTTGCAAACTGTGCAAGGATTTCTTTGCACAATTTGAAAGCTGTGCAAGATTCTGCACAGTTTGCAAACTGTATAAGGGTAGGCCTAGCGCATGCACATTTTAATCTATGGCGTGATGTTGAATAATAAGCCGGATATGCATTTCCATGGATCGTGTGTGGTTGGGTGGGGAAAGATGGTGTGCCAGTGAGGTGGACTGGATTATACATCGTAGGCCAGTTTTAATAGCATATTAGTGTGACTTACTAAAGGGCCTACTTTACTTTAACCCGCATACATTAATCAACTTCTTCCCAAATATGTGCCTGGCCGTTCCCTACGTTTATCTGATCTCAATTTAATTTCTGTCCCTCGCACCAACACTAAGACCTTCGGACACAGATCATTTTCATTTGCTGCAGCCACACTCTGGAACGCACTACCACTTCACATTAAAAAATCAACATCAGTTGCTTTTTTAAAAAATCACTCAAAACACACTTATTCCAACAATAACATGAAGCGCTACTGATAATTACTTCGGTTTTTTAAATTGCGCTATATAAGTTCTTACCTTATTATTATTATTATTACTTATGTAAATGTCAACTTATCAATGGACAATTATTTAATAATGTAAGCAATATTTGTATAGTATTACTCTTGTTGGAAAAAATTATATTTACAGTACTCATTGTTGGATGATGATTTTTATTTCAGGAATCTTATCCTGTAAATTAAAAAGTGTTATAATATCCTGTATAATTTGCCTACATACTTTTTCGAGGTTTATTTTGTTAGTTGGCAAATAAAAGCCTGAAAGATGGGTTTCAATGTACAGTACAGTAGTCCTTAGGTAACACACCTGGCATAGGCCCTAAGGCCTTGACCAAATATATCTGTAAAAAACTAATTCCTATTAGGCCTATTTATATTAGTTTTTTAGCAGTGGTATATCTTTAATAAATTCAACAGTCACCGACAGTGCCGTGTGTCCCACATACAACATGGATGGCCTATCTTTTATCATTGCAATTTCTGTATATCTCCCAAAAAATACATTATGTTGAATCAGAATCTAATAATAAGTTAATATGATCAGTATCAGTTCATAAATATAAATGTCACATTTTACCACAAATGCTGAAAGAATCCTTGCGCAGTTTGCATACTTCGCGCACAGTTTGAAACCACTTCGAAAATACGTCAGCAACTCATATTGAGCAAAAGGAACAAAATGCGCACAACATGCCCATCATTGATGAGAGAGGAGCCATTGAGAGGTGATCAGTTACGGATGATCGGGTCAACGGTCATTCGAGCCACTTGCAGTGCTAAATAGATTTGTTTTTTCGATTCAAAAATGAGTCACATAAACATTTTAAGCCTATGATATTTAGGTAGTAGTAGTACAGGAGGTTAGGCTAGTAGTAGGCCTTACAAGGAGAAGACTGACGTAGTGTAAGAAGAAGATGCTTGCTTGGCTTCAATTCATTCAATCATATTTATTATGACACTACAAAAAAAACAAAAAAAAAACATAAGAAAACAAACAACTAGACCTATCCTAGGGGTCAATTGCTGTACAGGGCTAGGCCAAGGCTAGTAATTATATTAAGAGGCGTAATTCGCTACTCTTGCTAACCTAGAGGCTTAAGGCTTTTAATTACTGGAAATCATGTTGCAGCATACCCTCAAGTAAATAATGGAATCGTATTTTGGAACATTCTTAATTGCTGCAGCAAACTCTAAAAAATATAATAGAATCTTCTGTTGTATTCAGGCGCATTATTTTCTTGAGCAGCGTACCTCTGGCCTATTGAGGATTCCATTGTTTTCTATTATGCTCGAGGCTAAAAATCAAGTTTCTGTGAGCTTGACCTTGACCTTTGACCATTTTCCAGAATTTGAATGGTCTCTTTCTTGATCATAATTGGTTATTCCATTAATTTTATGATTATCCATACAGTACATGTATTGTAATTTATTTAATATCTAAAATCATTTATTTGTGCTATTTCGAACGAATTCTTGGCACCGAGTGTATTTCTATGTGAAAACAAAAGTGGAGGCAATTCTGTATCTCGGTGTGCTCAGTTAACCAAAGAATTTGAACAAAAAATCCTTAAATTAAACCTATAGTATATATTCCCTAAACTAAACATGGTTAAACATTCATTAGTTTTTGCTTAATCTTGCTAACAGGCAGACAGACAGAGGTGAATACATGTTACCCTCCTTTTGCAGACGTAATTATATGCTATACAAAATAGATAGGCTACAGTAGGATCTCCTGAGTCAAGACCACAAATTTGCTACAGTACTGGATCTTTAGATCTGCAGAACATTATTAGGTGTCTGGTACCGGTATGCTATGCTATGCGATTTTTTAATTAGCTTTTTCATGATGATGATGACCATGTTTGTTCATTTAGTTGTAGGTTTAATCTAGACTCTACCATTGATCGAAAATATTTTATATCCCTGGATCTGTCATTGGCAAATTTTTTATTGGTGGTCTATGAATCGTTTATGATGCCTACAGTAATTGGTACAGCTTGCAAATGGGTTGAAAAGTTTGCAAATTACAATGAAATGTTGAACTCTATGAAAACTATGCCTACAGTATCTCTGTATTTTTCAAATGACTGTTTTTTAAAAGTTGCATTTCTTCAATTGTCTTGGTGTAGAATAGTTCAAGTAAGGATCATGTCATATTATTGGTTCCCACACCAAATTCAAATGGAGGAGAATTTAAACCAGATGCTATTGATGAACAATGGATCTCCCAGCACTCAATACAGGTTAGTTATCAATATACTGATTACAAGAAATATTCTCAATCTTATTCCAAGTGTGTTTGCATCCGGAGGTTACTGTAGTAGTAGGAGTGATGTTTTTGCTCTACCTGTCATGTTATTGTATTGAATGCTCAGTACCTGTATGTTCCCAAATACTTGTGAAAAAAATCTCAAATCTCTCAATTGATTGCGAGAATTTTTTAGAAATATTTGGGAATGTACTAGCATTTAGTACAATGACAGGTAGGGCAAAAACATCATTCCTATTCCCAATCTTCTTGTGCCATCTTTCTGGATCTCTTGGTGAACCTTGATTCCTGGTAGAATTTATACAAAAACTCTATACAAAAATTTAATATGGGTCCCTCAAAACAAGAGCATAATTGTACATGTGAAGATTTGTGTATGACATTTGCTTGTTCCTGGCCCTGCTATTATAGGTCGAGTTCAGTTGTCAAATTTGATGATTGACACTCCAAAAGACTAGGTAGGTTTAACAAAGTGAACATAACCCTGGAAGATAGGTTATTTTTCCCAACCACAAAAGCCAAATAGGAACAGTGCAGTGGTGGAATGTGTAATTATAATCATACTGAAAATGTTATCACAAATTTTGTGCACCCCAGACTGAAGAATGATTATAGGACTGTGCAAGGAATATGTGTCCAAATCATATACTGTACGTGTTTCCCATTGCTAAGTGGGGAGGACAATACCTTAAAAAGTTATACAGGAATAACATTTTCATGACAAGACCATAAATATATACTGTAGTTAGAATATGAAATGAAGGCAAGGCTTGCTTGGAATGTGTAGAAGATATGATAGAATCACTAAACAGGACTGTATAGATGTAGCATTGAAATTAATTTAGTTTTAATAGATCTTGAATTTAGCCAGAGTACCGCAGATGCTCCCCATGGTAGATTGCCTGAAGTGAAATAGAAACATACCAAAATTATTGTTTATCAGATTTATTGTTTATCATATATTTAGCTTAATTATACAATCATATCAATTTGATGTCCACGTATCTTGTGAAACACTTCACTCATGAAACACTTCACTGATGAAGCCCCATTGACTGGGGCGAAAGCTTGTGAAATGAAATTCATCATTATTCAAAAAAATGCTACCTACTCATTTGTTTTATTTGTATACCAGAATCAGTCAACATAAAATCATGTGGACAAAATAATAAATTTAAAAGTTAAATTTATTGTTTTTAAAATCTCAGGTGACAAGAATGATGCCTGGTGGACTGAATGTGATTGGCATCTTCGTCTGTGCGACACCTGAACATCTGAAGACATTACAACCAAAGCTAAGACAGGCGGTGTTTGCTGTGCAGAAACACATGAAACGAAAAGAGATTGTAAAGACAGCTGACAAGATCACTGAAAGAATTGTGGTACAGATATGTGCTGTAACAAAAAAGTATCCTTTGCTGGTTTACATTGATAAGGTTAAAATGTGGTGGCAGGGATCAGATAATGGTTCATTCTTTGGCCAGTTAATTGCTTACATTTTTTAAATTGTAATAATGTAGTTTTCATCAAAATTGAATTATTACTTTTCTACTTCAATGTGATTAATATTGTAATTTTAATCAATTATTTACTTCCACTTAAACCAATATTTATTGCAGCTTAGCGTAGTCAGCTAAGCTGGTAGTAGTTTTTGCACTGAACCATGGCGATCTCTTGGTCCCTGGTTCAATTCCCATCGCTGCTGTCCTTGTGTTTCAACAGGGGGGCTAAAATGCAAGTTACGATAGTGCACCGTCGTTCGGTTAAGACATTTAATTAGGCCGTTGGTCCTGTGTGCATTATGGCCCATGTGCATGTTGAAGAAAGTGTAGGTCATTGTCTCCTGGTGTACTGCCCAGTTATCACTAGAATGACCCTACTGTACTGGAAATAAGTCTTCTTCATACTTTAGTGGCATATCCTTGGTGTACACACCAAATCAATCCATCCATCCATATTGAAATTTATTGTTAGAAAATGGATATGAATGTGTTGATAGTTACACTAGATGAGGATAATGCTAATGATTGCTATCTATTTAATTTGTTCAAAACGATCAGTTGGTTAATATCCTTCACCGTGAATGGTCAGAATCACATGTAGAGGCGTCGATGTTGCTGATCCAAACAGTGTAATGAAACCAGTAGACTGGAAGTTTCAAAGCTCGCTCAACAAATGGCCGCTTGTGACCTCTGTCCTTCATGTAGATTTATCAATACCTGTCACTATGACAACAGGAAAATCTGCACTTTTGAAAAAATTTCATGTAAGATGTAGATAACATACTTATTACCTTTCTTTGATATTTTGAGTACCATATATATCAAACAGAGTGCCCTACTGATTGCCTTCCTTGTGATATTTATCAAAATGAATGTCCTGATTTGCATAAATTCTCTATTGAATGAACTTCTCCAGAATATCATGTGGAATGAACTCAAACTTGAGATGCCCTGATGTATACATGTTTTTTCCCCCTTGAATACACCAAAATGACTAAACAACACTCTTCTCAACATCTATCATATCAAATTAAGAGACTTGTAGCTTGCATCAGTTTTAGCAAATATGTACAGATATATTAAAATATACTGCTTTATAAATTGCCTTTGTTATATTTTTTTACTTCTGAACTTGTTTGCCTTTCTTTTCCAGAATGGCTTAGCTCCATTTTTAAATTCAATTCAGCAATCAATTTCAACAGTAAATGGTGAGCTAAGACCTGGGCAAAATCCATTAGATAAACAGTCCAAGGTAATTATAAACTTCCATATAAATTGTTATTTTGCTATTATGGTAGTGAGTGTGTGTGTTTGTGTGTGTTGAACCATGCAAATCTTGAATCCCTGTTATACATCACATAGCTGATGGAAATCCATTCCATGTTTATTGTAGTGATTGTTGATTTAATTTCATTTTGTTTCTTTTCCAGAAATATAAAATATATAATAAAAATATATATAACAACTTAAAATAGTAAAATTAAGGATAGCTTAATATTATAACATATTCAGAATAGATAAGTGAGAGTGCTAATTCAAATATATGTCTTGAAATTTTAAAATTTAGTGGTAAAAGGGGGGTGGGGGTTGCCCCCCTACTGGAACTGCCCTTGACTGACAATTTTTTTAAAAGCAATTAAGTATTCTAAGATTACTTTATAATTGCATGCAAAAAATTAGTCAAGTTATCAGCTTTTTTAACATTTTACTTTTATGCAAACATAAACATTCAGAGGCTATTTGCATTTATTTAAATGAAATAAAAGATTGTACTGTACTGTGGTATACAGAACATTGCCATAAATAGAGAGGCAATTTATGCAAAAACAATGTGACTAAACTATATTCTACATTAAAAATTTGGTAATGTTGTTGTGTGTGTGATTTTTTGTTTTCAGTCAGGAAAGTCAGGAAAGAAGGGATCTAGTGCAAGCGGAGGATCCAGGCAGGTGTATGAGGTGAATCTCTTTAATAAAATGGTAAGTTCAGGAGTAATTGTGCTTCAGTAGTTTAGTTACCAGTTCCAATCTCTGACCCATGGGTTCAATCCTTACAAAGGACACAAGCAGTGTGACGAGTGCAACACGTTGCATGTTACGTCACACACTTCACACCTGCTTATGCTAGTACATTACAAAATGTTACTTCAACTTTTGATAGTTAAATGGAGTACAGTAGAACCCCTGTTAAGGGGACACCTTCGGAACTAAAAAAAGTGTACCCTGAATAAAAAAAAGGGGTCCCTGAATAGGGGTTGGCTGTAGTGTTAAAAAATATATTTGCCTTTGTTTTATGGCTGAAAAGTGTCCTCTTTATAGGGGTGTGCCCTTAATGTGGGTGTCCCAAAGGAGGGGCTTCTACTATATTTAACTTTGATACAATTATTTAATGAAAATGATTAATTTATAATTACAGGTATGCGACAATTACCAGGTAGTGAAATCAGATTGTTCAGCTTGTTTTCATTTACGAGGAAGTTTACAATGTCGTGCATACGTCAACAATAAAGCTACGGTAGATAATGCAACACAGGTAAAGAACATTACATTATTTAAATTGATCTGTAAAAAGTGATACTACTCTATCTATCGTATCAAAAAGAGTATTTTAATTGTTAAAAATCATTGTTTTTGATATATTTGTTGTGTACACATAAAATATTTTGGTTTAATGACTTTCTAACTTTGTTAAATGGTTCTCATGTCTTATGTCTTACCTGTTTTATTCATGAGAAAGGTTGCTTATTAGTGTCCAGGCAATACAAGATATCCAAAGCACAAATACAGTTTTCTCTGCAATTAAGGACCACTCCAATTAAAGACCACTTTCCTATTGTCCCAAATTAAGAAATGCCTTTTATCTTTATTACTTTAATTAGAGACTGCTAAGACCATGGAAACCCCAGTCCCAAAAGTTTAATTGGTGGAGACCTGCACTTTCAATTAAGCACCATGATGCTTAGTCAAACTAGAATTCCTCAAATAAATTCGAAAGCAGTTCAAATGCTTGTTCAAAAGTGGTGCTTATTTGATTATTTACATTAATTTAAAAGTGTATAGAGACTTTAATTTCACTACGTTGCTTTTTTATACCTTGTTTATTTTTGCTGAATATATCTAGAAAAAATCCTTTGTCTTGAAATGTACATTACAAAATTAACAATAATTTTAAATAAATCTTTTACCTTTTAACAAATCTTATTACAGGCTCTAAAGGAAGATGCAATAAGAAGTTTACAAGCTCGATGTGACCTGCTAGTGGATGACCTCATACAGAATCCAGAGGACACTGAGGGCAGTACAACTCCTGGTAACCACTGCACTTTGATATTTCTACTTGTTTGCTTGCAATTGATGCTCTCAATTTTTGGGGTTAGGTTTTGAATTCTAACGCTGTTACAGTTGAACTTGCCAAAGTGGAACACAAAATGACATTGAAAAATTGTTCAACTTAGATAAAATTTGACTTACAAAACGTTAATTAATGGAAAACACAACAATTTTCCATGTAAAATAAGATCGACTTAGAAATGTTTTGAGTTAGGCAAAGTCGTCTTAGGCAAGTTTAACTGTATTTGCCTGTGTAGTTGGGTAAAGCACTAGATTCAGGTTGCTCTCCAGCTATATAAATGTAATGAATGTGTGTGTTCTTAATGATTAATCATGTAAAGACCAATATTAATAGAAGTTGAAGTGCATTGACACAATCTTACATTTACAATTGACCGTTATCAAGAGCTGAGCGGTTGGCTGATAGGTATTTTTCCTGCTCCTTGTTCTGAAGACGTGGTTCAAGCACTGGTTTTATTTGGCTCCAATAACCATCATATTAAGTGTTAGACGTGTTAAGTACAATGTTTGGTAATTAAGTTGGCTGGCGCTGCACTGTGGCTGCCAGAGGCTAAGCTCAAATCTCCAATCAGGACAAATAATTGGAATTGTTATTATTATCATCATTATTAAATATAATTATTCTGTATAAATATAACAATACTGTTAAACATAACAATACTGTATCATCTAGCTGGAAAGGGTGCTGATAGCACTTGTTATTATTGGTAAGTTTCCTCAAACAGTATTGCTTCAAAAATAGTGAAAGTTCTAAAGTAGAAAGTTCTTGTAGTAAAACATTATTATTTTCTTTTTTGTAGGTTTCAACAGAGCAACTGTATTACCACGGAGGGTGTTTACACCAGTTCCTGGAATGTCAATTGATGCATGTGACTACATGTTTCCTGACGAGTCATCAGCTGACTGCCTTGAGAGGTTTTCAGAAATCCTCAGCTTAGATACGACAACAGACATGTTAGACTTCACATCAGAAACCGTACCAGGTATCAAAATTTGAAAATTTGTGTATTCTTAATAGAATAAAGATGGTTGCTTGTTGCCTGTAGAGTGCTTTTCCTCCATGAATATTTATTTGATAATTGGATATCAATACAAATACAGGTCTTCCTTCAATTGTCAAATGTCCAAAAAGACAACTTTTGGGACCAGGTTTTCCATGGTCTTTAACAGCTTTGTTCTTAGAATAGATAAGATAGAGTTAGAATAATAAAGATAAAAGACAGTTGTTAATTTGGGGTTACAGGGATGTGGTCTTTGATTTGCATGCTGTAGTAACAATTTAACAATATCACATATTTAACGTCTGAAAATATTTGGTGTGTTGAAAGCTGAATGATCCAAACAGATTGCTTTTTTTTGTCTTCTTGAGAGTAATTCTGTGGTGATATAGTTAACTTTCAGAAACATATTTTTTATATTTTGTCCAGATATTGACGATCTTAGTCATGACACAGACAATGAAGAAACAATTCCAGTTGATGATAGGAATGTTGGAAGACCTACTAGCAAAGCAGGAAGAGGAACATATATAGGTAAGAATAGTAATCTAACCTACAGTTACATTAAATTGTAATTAAAATTTAATTTAATTTAATTAATTAAAATTTAATTTAATTAATTAAACTTAAATTTAATTAATTAAAATTATATTTAATTAATTAAAATTAAATTAATTAATTAAATTAAATTAATTAAGTAATTAAAAATTAATTAAAATTAAAGTTACATTAAATTTGATTGAATTTTATTTTTATTTGTCCAACATTAAAAACAATGATAGTACTAACAGAAATAAATTTAAACAACTAACCAGGACTGTAAGCAGATATCTAAGTTACATTAGGTGATTTTAAGACAACATTGTGGTTCGTAGTTAATATCCTGAGGTATACACATTATAATTACGATTATTTTTTAAAACCTTTCTATTGCAGCTGCTGCCCTCAGCTTATCAGGGGCTGCTGTCGCAGCCTTGATGTCTTACCTAACCCTGGCGAATGATTGACAAGGCAATGATCAAATGTGTGCAGATGGGATCCAGTTCCTAGGTCAAGTCAATGTGTGCAGATGCAAGGAAGTGCCTGGCTCCTGTAGGTAATGCGTACAGATGGGTACCTTTTCCTAGGCCAAACTAAGCTGCTCACTGGCTCCCAATCACATGGTTGCCTCTACTGAATCCTGAGAAATGTGTTCATATTATAATTTTTTAAGTACACTTGGTTAAAATATGCATTTTTTTTGTAATATTTCTATTTGCTTATCTCCTTATATTGTTTATAACATTTTTCCATAAGCTTGCAGTCTACCTGTTATTAACTACAATTACCCGAAAAATAAGAGCAGCAGTGTTATGTATAATATTTCAATGGGACCATCTCATCTTTTATAATTGTCTAGTTTCTGCATCCATTTTGAAGGTTAAAATTATAAAATATTTTATAGAAGGGGCAGTTGTAACAGGTAGAAAGACAAAAATGGGTAATATGAATGTGACCATATCCCAGATTCAGGATATTTTGGTACTTATGAATTTTTTTTTTTACGTACACAGTAATTCTGGTTAAACAAAAAATACAAAAGATACAGTTTATAGGATATCAATGCATTCAATGACAAACAATTAAAAACAAAAAAAAATACTAATTGCAATCTATTCAAATTCACATTCATTCATTAAAACCTCCAAACAAGGAGAAGATAAAACATACTGTTCATACATTAAAAATACATTTACTAAATTAACTAAATTGAATAATGAAAACACTATGAAAAGGAGAAGTGTCCTGCATAAGTGACCAATATATCAACATGAGGCACACCATCGGCATTTGACAGTGTTACCAAAATGACTTCAGCAGCAGCCCCATGAGATCAAGGTGATTGTTGCCTGTCATTACATGAAATAATTAATTTGCATTTAGAGTTTCAGATACAGTTTACGCTAATTTATATTAGTTATAGTCACATTTTTCCAACCTATATACATATATGCTACAGTAAATGTACAAACATCTACTAAACCATGACATTGTAAGAGATCTAGTTTTGGCCTTTTTTTTGCACACCCTTGCATTAGTTTATCACAGATGAACACTGGTAGACAGGCTGGAGAGTTTCTGCTGCAGTTCTTTCAGTCATTGTTACTTGAACAATTAATGTTCTCACTCTGTAATATGGCATAAAACCACCATGACACTTCTCCATCCAACACAGAACTTTGGTGATTCGTCTGTACTCAAACTATGAGCCACAGCTTTGGAATCGCCAACATTACTCAGTGTCGCGTGTCTAGATCGCCCACCCTTAGGCTAATATCACACCAAGACTTTATAGAACACAAAACACCATTTCAATCAATTTTAATTCCATGAACAATTTTAATTATGTCTATCACAACGATGTCATGCATGTTCAGCATCAGTATACAATATACATGATATAAATACAAGCAAATTATACTATGTATATCCAACAACTATATCAGTCTGATTATAGTATGTATGATAATCAGACATAGTTCATCCAGTCAACAAACCATTGTCTCTCCAATAAATTATCAACTATATTAAGCAAGATAATCAGACATGGTTCATCCAGTCAACAAATATTGTCTCTCCAATAAATTATCAACTATATTAAGCAAGATAATCAGACATGGTTCATCCAGTCAACAAACTATTGTCTCTCCAACAAATTATCAACTATATTAAGCAAGATAATCAGACATGGTTCATCCAGTCAACAAACTATTGTCTCTCCAACAAATTATCAACTATATTAAGTAAGATAATCAGACATGGTTTATCCAGTCAACAAACTATTGTCTCTCCAACAAATTACACTATACCCACAAATTACATCAATCGATATAGAATGAATATAATATGATAGACATAGAAAAATATAAATAAAATCAAAGACTTCCCACTACAAGACCCCGTACTCTGTGTGCCTCGACCACTACGCTAAAGACACCCAACTCTGTTTCACCGCTCTGCCTTGCCTCATGGGTCGCGAACACCATGTATCACTCAGCTAGGCCTACATTACTTTCAAGTGATGAGCAATCCGTACCAAGGAGTCAGCCTTCAAATCAAAATAACAAATACAAAAATACGAGAACAAGATATGCATATGATACAATACACTTCAAGTGGAATATTCCAATGATTTGTAATAACACGAGAACAATTAGGCCTAACCTATTACGGCTAGCTCAGAGGAATGCAATGCTCCAGTGTCCGGTGAAACACACACAATAACCCAAAATTAAACTCCAATAATTTCTAATAGGCGCCTAGCACGGAATCCGCCACCGCATAAATGCTATTCTTCGCCTCACATGGTCCTACAACACAACGGCAGGCACACACTGTGCAGGGAGACATATGTTTACTTGACAATCGACACTGGCTTCACAACGTTATATACCACCTCATTTACATATTAGCTACCCATGTGCATATCGTATCGCATTTTAATATCACTGTTTTGGATTGGCAAACTGATGATTTCGTGACACTCAGTATGAGTGGATTTGTGGATTTCTATTTGTGGATGGTATCAACTGTAGCTGCGCTATGCAGCATAATACCATGCTCCTTGCTAGCATCTTTGCATTTATTACGTTTTTTGTTCCATGCTGCCAGATGCTAAAGTTTTTATTACATATTGTTTTAAGATTTTTTTATAAAAACCTGGATCTAATTTGCATAATGAGCCATGTTGACAATATTTATTCATTACAAGAAAAAAAAAGAATGAAGCCACTGCTCAGAGACCAATTAAAAATAATCTTAAATCCATTCCTATTTTCTTTCACATTATTAAAACCCTTCACTATCTTGTTTGCATTTAGTTGTTTTTTTTTTTACTTTTTTTTTGCTGTATTTTTATAGATTAAGTTTAGTTAAGGGGAAGCTAATCATATGCCACTAGTCATGATTACTATGTGGCTGTCTGGCGTTCCCAGGTAATATATTTACTGAATTTTCATAAAATCGATCACTGTCTACCTTTTCAACTTTGTTGTTATGAAGCACACAGGCATCTTTGGTAATAACCCACTGTAGTTAACAAGAAAAATCTGCAAACTAGCCTTTGCTCAAGAGATAGAGAAGTAAATTTTAGAAAATACATTGTCGAGAAGTCTATGTTTAACTTTTTAAATGAATATAAAAAAATGAAATGCCTGCCATCATAGTTATTTATTTATGTCTTTAAACCGCTTTATAAAGGAGGCAGTGTTGATAATGTAGGTCTACACTGTTTGCAATTTAATGTCAACTGTTCACTCGCACTAACATCGGTGGTTATTCAAGCAAAATACTGTTGCATGGTGGTCTCTTCGAGTTCCGCTGAAATATATGACATTTCTTGGATTGACCTGCCACTGCAGTAGGTAACATTCTTCACAACATTTAGCTCGTATTTGAATGCAGATGTGATTGCATATCCAGCAATTACTAAACCATTATCTTGACTGGATTTGACAATGTGAGATTTACTGTCATTAGATAAGCCAGGGGAGGATTTAGGGGGGGGCCCGGCCCCGGCCCCCCCTTTTGGGAGGTAAAAAAAGAAAAGAAAAAGAAAAAAAAGAGAGAAAAAGAAAAAAATGATGGCCAAGAATGCCTCAAATGTTATGTTCGAGCGTCTAGAACACAAAAATTTCGCGGGGGCATGCCCCCGGACCCCCTACGACAGTGTTGTCTCAATCGGCCCAACTTTCGGCCCCCCCTTTTGGACATTTCTGGATCCGCCCCTGCAAGCTGACAATGCATGTTCTTTTGCACTACAGAGGTGGATTCTCCTGGATGGAATCTTATTCCATGTTTCCCTATCAAATGGACACAATGTCTTGTCAGTACATCCCTTCAGAAGTGCAGTAATACAGCCATGAATGACCATTCATCCACTTGTTACAAAAATATCCAGCTTGCTTGACATTGGTCTTGGCTGCTGGTTTTTTTTCTTAATTTTGAATTTTAGTTTCTTCGTTATATTTGGCTATTTACCCCAACTGCTTCTTTTGAGGAACACAGACAGGTGCAGCATATTCTATGATAGGTCTGCACAGACCATTAAATTAACACAACAGTAGAGTGGGGTCATTAAATGAAACTAAACGTTTGATAAAACCAAGAATTTAACAGGGTTGTGCAAAGATAAATCATGTGAAAAGTGAATACCACAGTATTTGTGGAATGAAACTGATTGTATTTCAGCAGAATTAATAAAATATTTTTCTTTTACGTGTAATATGAAGTATTTTACATTTTTTGGCATTAAGTTGCATCATGTTTTTATTGCACCAGTAAGTAATATTATTTATTTATTTGTTTGTTCGTTTGTTCAGCAAAAGCAGAAAACCTACTGTTGCCAAAAGGACGTGTGACTCCCTGAAACAATACAATAAAAATGAATTGAAGAACTTTGGATTTGAAACTTTTTAGGTTGCAATGAAGAGGTGGGACTAATGAGGAATAAAGGATTAAGTGAAGGGCTCCGATATGTTGTATTTTCTAACCATTGGCAGACTTGGGGGAATGTCTATAGATCCCATGTGTGTGGGAGTGCATGACTATAGATGACTTCTGTTGTTCCCCTCTCCTGGCATGGCCTTGGTGTTCCTTGAGCCTGGTACGGAGATCACGACCTGTTTCACCAATGTAAACCTTTCCGCATTCGCATGGTATCCGATAAACTCCTGGCTGGCTATTTGCTGGTGGCTTATCCTTGTGAGTTTGAAGAGTCCTTGATAGTTTGTTGGGTGCACTATCAAAAAACTTTAATATCGGCTAGCTAGGGTGAGAAAGCTGTCCCAAAAATGGTAAACATACAGACTTTCTAGGTTCCGTGTCATCTTGGCTATTGCTGCGTTTCTGTATTTTCAAATCTCTCATGTGATAACCGTTGAGTTTCAGGGCTTCCTTTACATGTTGCATCTCTTTCTGGATGGAGTTGCGGTCACTGATGCTTTGTGCTCTTCTTATAAGTGTGTTGCAAACTACTTTCTTGGTAGATGGGTGGTGAAACGAGCGTTTATTCAAATATCTGTCGGTATGAGTTGGTTTGCGGTAGACTGAATGCGATAAAATGCCTGACTTCTGCCTGGTGACCAAAACATCAAGGAAAGGTAAAGAGCGATTGTGTTCCTCTTCCATTGTAAACAAGATAGCACCGTGCTGAGAGATCAGGTGGTCTAGAAAACTATCTAGGTACACCTTGCTGTGCTGCCAAATGATAAATGTGTCATCGACGTATCGTAGCCAAAGTTTGGGTTGTCCCTTTTTTTTTGTTAAGTGTCAATCACACATACCACTTCATTGTAGCACAGATTTCTTTTTTGTGAGTGTAAACATTTCTTTTGCTGCATCCTGTTCCATACAGGAACTTGCTATATTGGGGTCAAACTTCTGCGTACACTGTCAAAATGATGGTATTGCCATATTATAAAATTGTTTAGATTCTTCATTATCGTTAGCATGTGCTTGGCATTCTCAACATTCGTTTGAAAATGCAAGTGCAGTTTAGACACAAAACAGTACATGTAATTCGACATTAATTGGGTGTTACACCAGGGGTGAAGCACATTGAAAGATCTAAGGACAGGTTTAAAGACAGTTGAACAGTACAATACATGTGGGGCTAATCTTCATGTGTGGCCGGCAAGGGGACATTTGGTAAATGTTGCTGCCTTCCATTTTTGTTTCCTACTTTGTGACCCCCTCTAATTGTACCACTTTTTAGAGTATAACAAACATACATGACTTGAAAACCAGGAATAATAATAATTTAATGAAAACAATTTAAAATATAAGATAATAAATACATAACAATGCAATGTTACATGAACAGCAGTTAGAAAATACAAAAAGAAAGCAAATGCAAGTTAATCAATTCACCAATATCACAATATAGTGATAGTCTTCTGTCTATCATTGTCATCTATATTATTTTTTTTTAATTCTGCTATTTTTTGCAAATATTCCACAGTTTTTAAGCTTTGGTAAAAGCAATAAACTATATGTGTTTGCATGTATAAATATATTATCATTATCCTTGTTACATCAAGATCTTTCAGATTACCCTGTTGGATCTCGTAACCACACATCTCTCACATGATCTTGCAATTTCAGCTTGTTTAGCCATTTTTTGAACAACTAGCCTGTTTAATGTGAATCGTTTAATGCCTTTTATCTTGCAGTTTCGATTACGATTTTCTTTGATTGATCGCTTGCAATCTAGGCAAAGTCTTGAGATTGAACAGTCCAAGTTCCTTGTTGGCATAGTGTGGAGTGGGTTTTCTCCAACTCGATCATCTGAATCCAGTACATAGGAATATATCTTGCATGATTGGCTTTCATGCATAGAACCATGGTAACATCATTCTGATTGCTGCTAGATGTAGTTCCCAATCAGATGTTATAGTTGTATGTATAAATGCCAGAAGGAGTGACACCATATCAAGAAAGGAATGCCATAAATCAAATAAAGGATCATCTTTCTTCTTTACAGCTATGAAGTCTTTATAATGTTTCATCAGTGTCTTCATTTTTGTCACCAACATTACTCCAACTGATTGACATTATCTTGGCATGATTCTGTCATATTGGCCTTCATCAACAGATTCAAGAAAGGCACAAAACTTAAAATTTCTAAATGCCTCATAGACAATCTTGTATGTGTGTGTGGCTCGATTATAAATGGTGTCCTGAAGTGACTTCTTTATGTCTTACTGTCATGTGCCTGACAGTAAGATTAAGGATTTTGGTGTTTGGCATCTTCCTTTCGAAGCCATGTACATGATGTCCTGGCAGATTGCATCAAGTTTACTTCAGACATCTTCTGGAACATTCCCCATACATGGATCAATGTGCTGCTCTAATGCA